TGTTTACCAAACGATCCTAATAATTTTTTTATAGAGTCTGCATGTTAGAGTGGTGATTCTGCCACTGTAGCTCAATAGAACAGTGCTGTCAGAGATGGAGAAAGATCTAGCTGGAAATTTAATGGGACTTCAAGCTTATGCTGTGAAATATGGAGACCTAGACGAGTGTCGTGCAGCCTTCTGTCTCTATACAATCTCCAGATGTGTAGAAGACTGCTGGAGATGTATGGCTTCATTAAACAGAGTGACTGTGCAGAAGTGGATCTTGGGGACAAACAGAGTGCTAAAGTGGTTCAATGCCAAACCTCCCAAGCATCCTGCCAAGTCTCCATGATATTACAGGCCCTGTTAGCCGCATTCAAACCTTATAACAAATCCTCACTGGAATAAAAGTCTTCCTACAACAGGAAATGTAAAAAAAGTTAAATATAAGGAATAAGCAAACATCATAATTAGACGAACCATGGCTGAAATTCCTTGTAAAAGAGCTAAGAATGCATCACAAACTATATTGGTTGGGTATTGATTTTCAGCTTGAATTTCAGCTTAAAGGGATAGTTCACCTAAACAATTCTGTCATAAAATGCACCAAGTCTGTATTTATTTGATCAGAAATACAGTAATATTGTGAAATATTACTGCAATTTAAAATATTTTTTTTCTATTTTAATATGTTTATAAAGGCTTTACTGTAACTTTTGACCAATGCATCCATGATGAATAAATGTTTTAATTTCTAAAAAAAAAAAATCTTCCCCCAAACTTGAACAGCTGTGTATACAGTATATATATTGGGGGGTGAACAATCACTTTAAATTATCACTGGTTCAGAAGATAGTCAAGGAAACAGGCAGAAGGCAACTGAAACTCTATAACCACTGTAAAGGTGACTCCACAGGCCTGAGTATTATCTTTCCACCACTGAGAAGATGCTGGCTCTAGTGATGCGTGAAACAAAACATCAATAAATTACATCTCCCGGCAGCTGAGGTTCAACACAGCCTAGTGTTTCTCATGAAGTGTGGGAATTCTCCTCGAGCTTTCACACAAAAACACACACACACACACACACACACACACACACACACAGAGGAGCCAGCAAGATGTGTAGACAAGTGAGATAAAGTGATTAGGCCCAAGCACAAAGCCCTGATGCATCCCCAATATCTAGTTGCATGCTTTTAAACTCACTCTGACTGCAGTGGGAGCAAAAAATAAAAAAAGATGAAGAGAAACACGCCCGGTGAGCTCTAAACTTTTGTAAAATGACTTTACACTGTACAATCTCACACAAACACACACATATACTTCTCCACACGCTAGGATTGCAATATCCAGATGGAACTGCAGATGTCAGTACTCTAGGGCAGGGGTTTTCAACCTGTGGGGCCAGGGGGGCGCCAGCACCTGTCAAGAGGGGCGCGAGCATCAGTTATTCAGAGACGTTCCCTTGAGAATTTATGAATATGAGTTAACAAATTTTTAGCCATCCACTAGGGGGAAATCTGACTCCCACTGCTAGTCGACAGTTAGAGCAGAGTTGGCTCAAGTATCAGTCATGCTCAGTGTTGCCAAGTCCACGGAATTGGGCTACTTTAACACTTGCCGCGTTTTGTAGTTTTGGGCTAGTTTTGAGTAGCACTTAGGCGGGTTTTGTTGTGAAAACCTGGCAACCCTGGTCACGCTTATTGACAGGGTAAGATGATTTACGATTAGCCGTGTCGGAAATCCAACCACGGATTGGCATGTTGTTATCTCAGAAACAGGCTCAGCCATCACATTGAATCAGGTAAACTGGTTATATATTTATGTTTCAGTATAATTACGCACGCTATATCAACGCACTGTGATAGAGCGTTTCTATGCGCACCGCTCACACACCTGAAGTGCACAAACAGATAGCCTTCTCAGAGAGCAGGTGAATACCAATGGCTGTCTTGACAAGTATCCTTGTAAGCACAGTCCGTTGTTTTAAGTGAATGTAAACAGTGAAGAAAATATCAAATGTACATCAGTATAAGGGATCCGTGCATTTTTTATGTAAATAATGTTAATCAAAAAGAGCAAAAGAAAAATTGTTCGCTGCTCTAATGGATATTTGCTTTTATGTTATATATTGCCTTAGATGATCAGCCATTCTCTGTCGTAGAAGATGTGGGATTTCGTAGGCTGATCGAGCACATTGAGCCCCGTTATGTCATGCCGAGCAGACGACATTTCTCAGAGGTGTGTTTACCTGAGCTGTTTAATGTTGTTGCAACTCACGTCCATGAGCATATAGCTGCAGATATTTCAGCAATCAGTTTCACGACAGACATGGAGCTCAGACATCAGCATTACCAGTATGCTCAGTCTAACCGCACAATGGATCGACGCTGATTTCCAGCTGCAAAAGATTCTGCTCCATTCACAAGAGTTTCGAGGGTCACATACAGCAGCAGCCATTTCTGATGCATTCGCCAATATGTAGTAATGGGAGTAATGGGGGGAGGGGCGCGAGTGAAATTAGACAAACTTGGGGGGGCGCATGTCCTAAAACCCCTGCTCTAGGGGTTGGCAGCTTAACGAAGTCTCTGTTGTGAAACTAGTATTACGGGAAAGCATCAAAACAAAGCAATTGTCGGGATATACAAACAAGCGAGCCACCAGCCTGCTAAGGGTTGGGGTCAGGGGAGTGAGCTTTGAATGGAAAACGGCATTCTTTCGTATGTATCTGGTTTCACATTTAGATCATGGCCGGTTTGTTTTGGCTCTCTCCCGCTGGAATTCTTTCTAGGCCTGAGGACTATAGACAGTTTTCTCTGGACAGGCAAATCCCTCAGTGAGAGACACGGCTATACTGTCCTCCTCCATCCTCAGTGACAGAGACGATAAGCAGGACAAGGGGGAGGTGGAAAAAAGGCAATCATTCTGTATATGATACTGTGTTATTTTCGTGAAACTTAAAATATGAAGACAACAGTTTGCGACGTGTCTTTTTTGGAGTTGAACTAATTTACTGTCTCATTTAAATGTCTTGACTCAACTTAAAATGGCAAGTTTCCATGGCTAAATATCTGCCATTATTTTAACAATTACCTGTATGGTAAAGGTTTCTATTTTTAAAAAAATCTGCTCTTTTGAACTTTCTAGTTATCAGAATTCTGGAAAATGTATCATGGTTTCCACAAAAATATTAAGCAGCACAGTTTTCAACATATAGTAAGAAGAAATGTTTCAGCATATTAGAATGATTTCTGAACGATCATGTGACACTGAAGACTAGAATAATGGCTGCTGAAAATACAGCTTTGCCATGACAGGAATAAAATACATTTTACAATATATTACAATAGAAAATCGTTCTTTTAAACTGTAGTAATATTTTGGTTACTTTAGTTTTTGATCAAATACATGCCTTGGTGAGCATAAGAGACTACTTTCAAACTAAAATCTTACTGACCCCAAACTTTTGAAAGGTAGTGTATTTGGTATAAATAACTATACAAATGGTTTCAATATCATGTACTTCATCTTGTGTTTTCACAATGAGAATTGTACAATGAGAAAAGCAAAGTGTTAGTTGTCTTAAATTACTGACAGCCTCACATGAATATTCATCACACACTCATGAGACAAACAAGGCTCATAAAATACCTAAAAATGCGACTCACAGACCATAAGACTTTGACTAGGGTAACAATCAACTAACTGATCATTTTGAGTAAAACACATCCTGATGTCATAAGACAGTAAACCTTACAACAAAATCAACAACAGTGTAAATTAAGACTGGTATCCATCTAGATATCCACAAATACACACACACACACACACAGACTTATGGAGGGGATAGCATTTTAAAGGTGCCGACTTACAGGGAACTTTAAATAAGAGCTACAAACTTGCAAGAGGCATCGAATCCATGGTCCTTCTGATGATTTATTTTGATATGGATTAATTTTGGCGTTCAAGAATGTAGTTTAAAAACTGCAATTCAAACACGTTTTAAAGCTTCTCATAAAACATCTACCAGTTGTGGTAGATGTTTTTTTTTTTTCTTATTTCTGATAGTTTGATCCAGATTGACGCTGGCAATAACTGGCGCATGAAAAGAACAGGGAGCACAGGCGTAAAGAGATCGGGGAAAGAAGACCAGCAAATAACAGGCACAAGAGGGAGTCACCCACCCTCTGGCAGATTATAAACTCTGTGTCCCCATTTCATCTCACCATCATTATGATCTGCCAATGTTTAATCACTTCTCATTAAAGCAAGATCAGCTGTGATGTTTCCCTTCTACCCTCTTAGCTAATCCTCAGACCTCTGAACTTTTTTATATCCACGCTCTGTCTCACCAGCTCTCACTCACTGCTCATCCTCTGCTCCAATTTAGCCCTCCTAATCCCAAAATGTATTCTGATACAGAGACAAATGGGCTTCTAATACCTAATAGCCCTACACACAGCTCCGTAAACACATCAGCTAGGCCTTCCTAATAAAGCGGTGACGGCCAAAGTCATGCCACTTTAGTAAAATTAGGCTCTGAATGAAGAGGTCCATGTTTGAGACCTTCATCCAGACTTCCCCAAAACGTTTCAACGAGATAAACAAGTAATGCATCATCTTATATTTCATACACTGGCTATTTTAAATCTTGTGCTGGGACTGAGGGATGTTGTTTTTGTCTCTTTCTGTTACTGTATGGTTGGGGCTGTAATTGCCCTGTGACAGACCCCAGACCTTCAGCGTTAGAAATGTTCAATTGGCTGCTCCTTAAAGAGTGAGAACGGACCACACACTTGGAGAAGATTTGAATATTTGTGGCATCTTTATGACCCAGTTTTGACTCGTAGGGTGAATTAAGTGTCCTAGCTTTCCAGTCATATCTTTTGAAGCAGAATAGAAGCAGAATAATGTCTCTTCTGTGGAAACACATTTTCTTCTCAAATGTTCTGTGTGAGTGAGCATAGAAGACCAGATGTACATGTTTTACAATCACATTATTCTCGAGCTCTTACCTGTTTTGCTGGGGTCAGTATCAGAGATGGCCGGTAAGGGTCCCGTAGGTGAGGGTGACGAGTCGGGTCTGGGAGGAGGTTTGTCACTCTCTTGTGGGCGGCTCTTGGAGGTCTCAATGCCTTTGACTCTCCTAGCATGACGGTTCCCCTTGTAGTGGGCTTCTGCCTGACTCTGAAATGAACACACAGACTACATTCTATAAGCGCATCTTTCATAATCCACAAGGGGTTACACACAAACAGGCAGAGTTACAAATTTTTTAAAGCTCAAGACACAGGCCATATTTGAAATTTGGTACTGGATGTCCTGTCCAGGAGACTTAAAATGGGCTTATACCTACATGCTTGTCCCAGGACACTAATGCCACATGGCATCTATTTCCTGTGACTGTGACACTATGTTAATGTGCCTGCTTTTATTTGTGCAAAAGCAAAAATAAATAAATAAATAAAATAAAATGTTATTTAATTTGTATATAAAATAGTTGACATAATATAAATGTGGTTATTATTATAGTTATATTATTATATATGCATATATTATTATAGTTATATTATTATAGATGTAATTATTATTGTTATTTATAATACTTTTTTATGAATAATTTATTTCAACATTATTTTAATACAAATCTTTCAGTTTTATTATTATGTACAATTTTAAGTTACTATAATAGTAAGTTATTTTTATATTATTTTAATAAACGTTTTAAATAATAATAATAATAATGTATAATTATTATTATTATTATTATAAATTACATAACATTTTTATAACATCAGACATGACAATGAATATGAGGTCTTTTTCCATGATTTTACTATTAACAAGTGGATGCTGCACACTGGTGGTGGTTGAGGAGAGACCCCCCCACATGATTGTTAAGCGCTTTGGGTGTACAACAATACACAATAAAGCGCTATATACAGTAAATGCATCATTCATTCAACACTGTCAAGAAGAAGAGACACAACTGAAAATGTGTCCATTGTTAAGTGGAAGGATATATTTAGCCATATCGGTGGTCAGTGCATAAACAGCACAAAACCAATGGAAACAGCTGACCACTGTGAAAGCTCTAATCTGCACAAACAATTCCACTTCTCTGATGTGGCACAATCTAGTCCACTCATCGATCATGCTGACTTTACCTCTAGCAGGAACACACAGAGATATTTCCAGACACATTCACACAGGAGCTGTCGCCTGTAGTCTGCATCCTTGTTACAGGACAACACGTATCTGACGTGCCTCCCAGCAGCACGCTTCAAACAGATCACCAGAGCAGCAGGCTCCCAAAACAGCGATGGCTTCAGAATGCATCCCATCAAGACAAACGATGATGATTATTAAGTGGCTGGATTATCTGTTGTGTGAAACCGAGAATGAGTTGACAACAGTTGCTGCAGACACTGGGAGCATGACCAAGAGACTCATACCAGAGTGTCATCCAGGGCTCAGACACTCACAACATTAGAAGAGGCATGGAACCCCCGCAGAGACTCATGGGAACAGAAAAGATATTAAGACAGCTAGGACAGGCCCTCAGAGACAGTTAGGGTACACTTGCAGCGAGGGAATGGCATTAGGTTGGACCTTCCTGTCTGTTGTGGCAGGTTGTGGGCTGTAATTGGTGATGACAGAGCCTTATATAGCTGGTGGTCTGTAATCGAAGCCTTCAGGGGTTTGAAGGAGCTGCCTGTCTAAAGCACACAGGAAACTGAGGAAGATGTGGGAAGGAAGCACTAAAAGAGCACAGATCCCTGGGATTAAGGAGGAAAGAGGAGAAGATAGCGATGTGGCTCTGGCAGAAACCAACAGCAAGCTCAGTGGATATGGGGCTAAAGCACAGGTGGAGACAGAGATCACACAGACAAAAATGAATGTAAAACAACATATATGAGTTTAGGAATATAAAACTGATCAGACTTGCAGAAGAGTGAAGAAAAATGCAGAAAAAATCCACATCAACATCCAAGAACAAATGAGAAACACAGTTCATGCCACTGCCATGTGCAAGCAACAGACTCAAACAGTCTAGGGTGGTAATCACAACCATGAGTTACAGAGATGTCAATACTGGAGATTCCAAATATTTTTTTAACAGTCTGTGACTAGGAATGAGAATCGTACAGAATTTAACTCTTTCGGTTCTGGTTCTAATTCCTCTGAATAATTTCGGTTCCACTAATGATTGTAAGTACTTGTAAGGACTAAATATTTGTTAATAATAATAAGAGCTAAATAAATTTTAAAAAGTAATAAAAAAATATATATATATTGAAAAATGCATTTATACAGTTGTTATAAATGCAATCAAATAATTAGCTTTAAATGTATATTAAACAAAAATACTAAACAAAAACTCATTATCTGCATCTTTATACACCAAACAGAAAGTATACTGATTTCTCACAGTTAGTTGTGAGCTGCATTTTTTTGATTCTGAAAGTTTGCAAGTTTCTGATTTGCTAAAAAAGAGCATGTTTATAATAGTTGTTTGTTCGGGAGTCAGACTATATTGGTTGTGTTTCCTGTTTTTGATTCGCTAAAAAGAACGGCCTCAAAAAAGTTATTTCACGAGTCGGACTACACTGGTTGCACTGCATATTTTTTATTCACTACAAAGCAAAAGTTCGTAGTCTTTCATTCAGCAATCAGACTACACTCATGCTATTTCACAAGTATATTCACTAGTGTCGTTGCGTCACCACTGAATAGTAGTACAGTTCTCTGCCAGAGTATTTTAGTACAGTGATCCTTCACAGTGGAGGAAGAATTCATGTGCATGAACAGTTCATTGAACTGAGTGTTATTCAATTCCGATATTTTAAAAAGTTTGCGATAGCCTGTCTGATAAAAATGATCAACATCTATGAAATGCACTATCATCCATACATACTTGTTTTTAACAACCAGTTTGTAGCTAAGCTGTTTTAGCCAGTTCTTAACTCTAATTCAATAAGATAAGCAGACCACTTTTAGCAATCCAAACCCAATTTTCACGTTTGAACTCTTTGAACCCACATACAGGATTCATTGAAATTCTCAGTGAATGCTTTCTTAATGAAGTGACTTACAAGAGAGGGGATACATTATGTGTAAAGAATACCTCAGCCATTAGATATGAATACAAATCAAGTACCAAGCCAAATCAATGATGTGCCAATGAGAATGAAGTGCTCTTATAAAAGCAGCGCTATCTAACAAATAAGGAAATGAGGAAAGTTCTCGCCCAGATGGCACAGGGTTTTACATAAGACAAATGAGTTGGTTTTGAGAGCACAAGAAAAATACTTTAAGCACAACGATGGAAAACAGGGAGAACAGACATAACTTTTCCAAGGACAAATTAGGATGCAGATTGTCCCAGTCTCACCAAACCACATGTGAACGGTAAGTAACATCAAATATGCCAAAAAAAAAAATACAATTACAACAACAAAATAGGAAAGGGCTGCATAATGAGGATTGACAGCTGTGGCTATTCCCAAAGCTCAACACGCACATGGAAGGTTAATTTGCCCTAGTGATGGAAAACCAGTCAGTGAATGACAGAAATTGTACGACAGCGGCGGGCTACTGCAGCTCTAGCAGGGGGAGGGACGTGGAGTCAACCCTGTCCTGCAGCCACAGTGACACAATATGGTGACATCACTTCTGCAGCGTGGCAAGGTTATACCTCCATCTTGCGCTAGAGTGAAAGGGACAGAGGGACACTGGCAGCACAGCATACAACGCTGAGCCCCTAGTTTGATGAATGCATCAGATAACACTTGCTGGCAGCCAATAGTCTGCTTTTTCCACCAGAAATGTCCTCAGATATCGGCACTGGGGGTTAGGAATCTATGAATCCATAATGGAGTGTGAAATGATGATGGGAAGGAGGTGAGGGAATAGATATTTTCAAGGAACAAAAGCATTGCTTTATTTAGCATATAGTAGAGGAAGAAAATGTAGACCCATTGCTCTGTGTAACCATTTAATGAAATATGGCATTGTATAATTTAATCTCTTAACGTAACTGAATCACTTCCAGTGCAACAATGCATGAAAGAAGCAGCACAATTTCTAGTACAACATCAGAACTCGCAGTAATTTTCTTTGATCTCTCTGTCTTTCGCACGCTGCTGATTTGACGACGTGAACATTTGATGCCTGACAACTTTAAAAATAAACAAGACTTTAAATTGTTAGGACAATGAATGTGTGAGTTTGTATGTGGGATGATGATTGTGTGTATGTGCCACTTTTCACAGATACAATAAACATATATATATATATATATATATATATATATATATGTGTGTGTATATGTGTGTGTGTTTGTGTGTGTGTGTGTGTGTATATATATATATATATATATATATACAATAGCATTTAAATTTTGAATCTAATACACAATGTGGCGATTAATTAATCGAATTAAATGAAATTTCACATCAAATCTTAACCTCAGAATTACCCCCAAAAGATTATTTAAAGCCATTATTGTGTTAAATAAATAAACAAACACACATTACAAAAAGTAGATTTAGAATATTTTGTTCAACAGAGAATTTATTACATGGAACAACATCAGCCATGATGAACTGGTATTTAGATATATTTATAGACTGTTTATTGCAGCTCAGAAGTGGCGTGAATGCAGTTACAATTGCATAAATAATGCCATGAGAATTAGAGGTCGACCGATAGTGGATTTTGCCGATACCGATAGCTAGGTTGGACCAAACTGGCCGATACAGATTAATTAACCAATAGTTTAATAGATTAAAATAGTGCTTTATTAACAAAAACAGTACTGAACCATGCTAGTAGTAGTAGTAGTAAAAAAAATAATAGTAATAGTAAATGTTGAAATTAACACCCTCTAACAAGGAACAATACTTACACAGCTTTCATTAATCTTAATGCTACAAATGGACTCTTATTTTAAAGTGTTACCATTTCATTTTAACTGTCATGCTTAAAGATGCACATCTTTAAATATATACACAAAGGCTATAGCATTAAAATGATATACATATGGATATTGTATGTATACTCTCACACTTTAACTGCTTCTATTCTTGAACACTTGATGATTATCTAATCAAAATAAAAGCGCAGCGCTGAGTCTAGGAGAACTCAGGAAAACAGTTTATTAAATCACCAAACGGACACAAGTTTACTTCAAGAATGAACAATTTGGCATGGATGAGTTTGAAGTTCGGTGTTTAAAAAAACGGAGCAAACGGAAAGAGAAAGCGCGACCTATATTATAGCTCTATAAATGAAGCACACAGACTTTATTAGAGCCACAGAAAGACAAACGTTTTGCTGAAAATGCACAATTCATGTACATTAACAACGATTCGGGACCAATATAATGTAAATTAATGGAAAACTATGTGAATTGTAAAATGTAAAACTCTGTGGCGCGGCAGGATTTTCTGTCGGCTGCATTTAAATCTGCGTCTGAAGTTTCCCGCTCTGTTCAGCGTGCAGTATCACGTGTCTAAACAAATAGCACGTGCTGTCAGTGATTTCAACCACTAGAGGCTGCTCTCGCACTGTGTAATGACAGCAGACCCTTCTCAGCCGCTCCAGCAATGGACGCAATCCGGAAAACTATCGGCATGGATTTTTGTCGATAACCGATAGTTCCAGCAATCAACTATCGGTGCTGATTAATCGGCAAAACCGATACATCGGTCGACCTCTAATGAGAATAATGGGTTTTAAATGGATATTAAAGGAATAGTTCACCCAAAATGTAAATTCTGTCATCATTTACCCACCCTCAAGTTGTTTTAAATCTGCATGACTTACTTTCTTCTGTGGAACATAACAGAAGATCATTTGAGAAATGTCTTTGTTTTAGTTTTGTTTTTTTGTTCATACAATATAAGTCAATGGTAACCAAAACAGTTGGGTTACCAACATTCTTCAAAACATCTTCTTGTATTTTCCTCAAAAGAACGAAAGTAATACAGGTTTGAAGCGACATGAGATTCTAATGAGTAAATGATGACAACATTTTCAATCAAACAAACAAACAAAGAGAAAGAAAAAGCAGTCCCCATATCCTACCCTTTTCATGGAAAGAGATGAGTGCTTAAATTTGTGTATAGTTAAATGCAATGATGGCAAGCAGAGACATTGTAAAAACAGGGGTGTTGAAAGTATATGAATATCTTTTACAAACCAGGACAGCTGAAGGTGTCAGAGATGTCCAATCAGCAGTCAAGAGCTTAAGGTTTATTGAACAACATGCATTATTATTTACAAGCATGCTTGTGTATGTGTCAAGCTTGTTTGACTTGAGGGTCATGAACTAGGTTGTAAACTAAAGACATGTTCGGATGGTACTTTGGGATGTGGAATTTATAGCTGATAGTACAAAACTTCAATCTAATCTTCTCCTCCATGAAATATCACCTCCCTTGAACTAACTACAACTCTTAAGGCAAGGCAAGGCAAGTTTATTTATATAGCAATGGAGTCGCCCACTATCAGAGTCCTGGGCTCGGCTGCGCTCTGAGCTGAAAGCCGCTGTCTGCTCGACCTTGAGCGTCTGTTAGTAGCGATGTTAGCTGCTGGCTGTTGGCTTAAGTCCAATTGTTTCACAGAATTGCTGAGTTGTCTCAAATTCTCTCCCTGTAAATCATTAAAAGCAAGCTGGGCTAACAGCTAAGGTCTCCAAAGGCAGGCTTGGCCTCTCCATCTTCTCCCTGTCTTTCATTGTTTGTGGCTGTGGTTTGAAGAAGGCCATACATCTGCTCGACTGGAGGGCTGAGATTACAGGCTCACACCAAGAAAGCCACTTTCTGCCCATGATTATAGTTCCCATCCGTAAAAATAGAGCAGGCTAGTGGGGCACTCCCAGGTCCTGCTCTGTTACTAATCTCACACATGTCACAATGTCTGCCACAGCTGCAACCGAATTCAGCCCAGAATATTTCAGGCTAAAGTTTCTCCCCCAACAAGCGTAGCAGCAATTTGGTGCATAAACAACTAACATAATTGCTTTCATTGATGCGCGAGGAATATTGGAACGTCAAAATGCACGATACGGATCTTGCAATAAATAACTGTGGCAAGTCTGAAATGGAAAAGTTGAACTTTGTTTTCGTAGGAAGTTCTTGCTTGTGGAAACATCTTAATTAAGAATATGTTGAGAGAGATTTTCTTAAAACTCATTTTAAACGTAGAAAGAAAGGGAAAAAAAAACATTTCATGCTGTAAGCTTGCACTCTTGATATGCTTTGCAGACACAGTATTTGAAAGAGGATTTGCCATTGGCTATTTCCGGGCTAGAAGGCAGAGTGTGCAAAATATCTCAGCAGTATAAACATAACTCTCATATTACATAGAAACTCACTTGAAGAACACTATATAAGATTTCATGTCTTCAATAAAACAAGCCATTTGAGCAAGACACCAAACATGCATAAAGTCAAACAGTCCAATATCAGATACCTTACCTCAGAGTTGAATCGGATCTGGCAGACATTACAGGAAATGATTGGCCGTTTGGTCTTCACCAGTGGGACTCCAAAGGTGTGGTTGATCACTGCCTTCTGAACAGGATCCATCTGAATACAGAACAGGAGAAAGAGAAAGAATGAAAGGGAAAAGAGAAAGGACATGTGAAACTAAACTCTGGTCTGACTCCCATTAGACAGACGAGGTTGTTAATCATGTTGATGGAAAGGTCTAGGTGGCAGTACAGTGGCAGTAGAACATGGCTAAGGGCGGCCATATGGTTTTAAAGAGTCAGGACACCTGTGAGATCAAGTCAGTATGAGCAGCGAATCTCCTGCACAAATGTTGTCAATCCCTGTATTCAGTTACAAAATATCAATGCTTTAGCTAATAATCAAGGATAACCTAATTACTCACTTACCTTTAAGGAGGTCATACTTCTAAACAAACATGTAGACTGCATAACAAAACATTCCTGAATAGAATCTACAGGATATAGGCCTAAGATCGTGAAATTATATTATGAAGGGGGTCTGAATACTTTCCGTACCCACTGTATATATATATATATATGAATGATTAGATTAAATATGATTAATGATGTTATAAATATTATATAGATTACATATAACTAAATATGGATTAATTATAATTATAATTAAAATCTAACTAAATATAACTTAAATATTAAAAATATATTGGTAAAAATAATGTCATATTTATGTATATAATATATAATTCATATAATATAATTCATAATACATATATATGGATTAAATCTAACTAAATATAATTATAAATATAATGATAATTAAAATATAATTAAATAAAACTTAATTATTAGAAAATATATGGGTAACACTATAAAATAAGGTCCCTTTAGCTGACATTATTTAATGCATAACTAACATTAAGTAACAATGAGCAATGCATTTGTTACAGTATTTTAATAGTAGTTAATAAATGTTAGCTCAGGTCTATTAAACAGATAAACCTTTATTCATGTGATTTTTTTTAAAGGGTCCAATTATGCTCTTTTACAAAGTCTTGATTTTGTTTTGGGGGTGTACTAGAATGTGATTGGTTAGCTGGGCCAGTGTGTGTTGTGATTGGCAGCACTCGGCGCCTGGTCGGGAAATGTCATGCCCCTTACCATAGCTGCCTGCATGCTTCAGTGTAAATACTGCATCAAAATCAAATCACAAATCCCGGAAAATATGCGTTGTAGTCCAAACGAGTCGTTCGTTGTAGTTTTTGAAAAGTGATTTCTGTTAAATAAAATATCTCCTTTTGAATTGGACTTTGAGCTTTGTAACTTCGCAGATCTTTTTTATGCTCAAAAAGCAACATTACAGACTAACTAAAGTTGAAAAAGTGAAAAAGCATAATAGGACCCCTTTAAATAATTACTAATTCTAATAATATTATTACCTAAACATTATTTAAACAATTATTAAAGCCACATACTGTACATATTATATTTATGTACATAATACAAACACACACACACGTTGTCCTTTAAATTGTTTCTATTAAATCAGTGTCCACCATGTAAGAGGTCAGATTTTAAAATAAATTTAACTGGCTATCCTGAGTACCACATCCCATAGCGCCAATGGCTAAGCCTCCGTTTACGACCAGATTAATGCACAAAGTCTGATGGTCGCAGTCCAAAAATCTTTTGGCCTTGTGGTCTGCATTCACTACTCTATTGTCATATGATTCTTACCATTATTATTCGCTTGATATAGTTTAATTTCATTTGAACATTTTGACCTAACATTTTATACAATATGATTCAGCTAATCTCCATGCATTTACAACAAATTCATCAACACTTACAACATCAATTCATCTTTCTGACAAACTTGACCAATTTTTTTTTTTTTTTTGGGCTAATGAAGTGGAAATAACTGTGATACATGATTTGAATTACAGGTAGTTACAGAAAGAAAATGTTTAACCTTTCAAAAAAAATCTATAATGGTTGTGATTTTATTCCAACTTCTAAGAACAATAGTCTAAGACGGGCCAGTATGGAATATCTTCTCTTGGCTGGAAAAGACGGGGAGAGGCTGAAATTAATAATCTCAAAAACATTTTTAAAATCTGCAAACGGATTGTATCCAGGCAACCCCCAACCCCAGTAGAAGCAAACAGAAAGAGAGCCGAGACATGGTTCGGGCTGACGGCACACACCATTTGTGCTGCACACACCGGACTTCCTCAGATTTTTTCCTCTTATCTCTTTTGGCTTGGGCCCGAAAACTTGTTTCTGTTCTGCGCCGCAGTAACCATCGAGCGCCCTGATGCCGTTGTGCATGTGCAAAGTCCACACTACATCAGTCAGACAGGCACTGGATTAGCCTCAATGATGCTGTTCTATGGCTTTGCCTTCAGGAATCTCCAGAGGATTAAGTGAAGCTGGCAGTTAGCTGGGTAATCAGAACACCTCCAGCTAGAACACATCAATAGATACAACTGTCAGTACTAACAGCCTCAGTGATGAAACGGACCAGGGAGGGGCTCCGACAGGCTGCACGGGAGAAAGGCCTCTCATAAGAAAAAGATTACTTTTAAAAGCTCATGTCTTTTTTTAAAAGTCTGCAGGCTGTATTTTAACTCAGAACGCCCTTCTAATCAAGATTTAATAGCATACAGAAGTTAACATGCATCTATCGACCAAAATCCTGGGTGTTGGTCCATCATGCTTCACATCTTGAAGTAAAAATAGCACTGCATTGAAGTGGTCTTCTGCTGGTGGTGATTTATTCCTCCGACTTTCTCAGACTAGAGACAACTTGGCTCATGACTATCCCAAGAAATTTCCTTCAACGCAAATGATGTTATGATACAGTTTATGATGGTGCTACAAGAATCTAAAGAAACCACCAAACCACAGCTGAAAGACGCCTTAAAGGCATAGCTCACCCGAAAATGTAAATCACTTTCAATGTAAGTCAGTGGAGTCTAAAACAACACCAGACTCCACTGACTTACATTGTATGGAAAACAAAAAGATATTATATATGTTACATGAAATATATATTACTTTATGTTCCACAGAAGAAATAAAGCCTATCCCTTTAAAGGCCAATATGTGAAATACTGCTTGTTTTATCAATGCCTCTCTAACAAGCTGTTTTTATGGTATTGGCAGACACTGAATCTATGCTAATTATCAAAGTGAGCCATTAACAGTGCATGTTACATTTATCCAGTTGGAAAGCAGTGTCTGTCATATGACCTCCCGATGCTCCCTCTGGAAAACCACATCCCACAGACTGTTAACTGTTCAAAAATAGCCAGATTCTTCTCACTGTAAAAACACAGACCTTTTAATGACCCCTTAAAGGAATAGTTTATGCAGAAATTAAAATTCTGCCATCATTTACTCACCCTCATGTGCTTCCAACCCTTTATGATTTTATTTTGTCTGTGGAACATACTGTAAAGTAGTGTTTTTTATACAATGAAAGTCCATTGTATGAAACATTCTTCAAAATATCTTCTTTTGTGTTCTGCCAAACAAATAAAGTCATACCAGTTTGAAACGAGTAAATGATTGTGGGTGAACTATCCTTTTAAAGGAAATATGCCCATACAACAGTGTCATAATGTAATTTGGATTAAAAAAAATGGGCTAACCTAATTCCCAAGAGTCTCCCTTTACTTTCAATACAAGATCACATATAATTTTATACAAACCATGGAGTGTTTCAGTATGCTGAACACTGCAAGCCCAAAATGCACTGCGTTCAATGTACCCAGTTTTGTTATGTCTCTGCCTGAGCTAGCTGGAGGGCACTCACCTTCATATTCTTAGAAGCGCTTGGATCTCGCAGCTGCATTGGATCCTCCGTGAGGGAGCTCATGTTTGTGTGTGGGAGGGTGTGTGTGAGAGTGCCACTTATCCAGAAGGGATCTTAGCTGTCCCACCACACCACCTGATTCTCCCACATTCACACGCTTCTGGGCCCCCTTCTGGGGACGTCAATGAGCGATTCTTGCATTTGCAGTTCCAGGATATGATTAATTGATGTCTCTCTTCCTAGTTTTGCTTCTTCTTTTCCACAGTCAGTCGTCACTCTTGCCGTTATGGTTTGGTTTCTCGTTCTCCTTTGTTTAATCTCATTCACCTTCCTTCCATTCCTCCCTCCATCCTTCCTAACACTTCACAGCAAGCCAAGACTACGTTCCTGGTTTGCTCTCTCTTCATTTTCCTCTGCCTCTTACTTGCTTCTCTTTCCTTTCCTTCCCATTTTACTACAAAAATAATTTCTGTCGTCCTTTCCTGTGCTCTCTTTCAATGATCTCCTTCCTCTTTCTGTTCTACATGCTCACTCGCTGACTGCTCATTTTGCCCAGATGCACTAAGAATGTCATGCACTCCCTCCGTTTTTTTCCCCTTTCTCACTCCCCAAATCACCCTCCACTCCCTCATTCTATCAAAAGCACAAGCTGCAGAATTCAGCCCTCCTCCGGCTCCACCGTCATGACGGTCCTCTCGCTCTTGCCACATATATCTAAAACACATGTGGATCCAATGCAGCGGTGACCCAGGCTCAATTAATAAAACTTCTAAAAATATTTGAACTCATAATGCCTTGTGATTGATATCTTCCAGCTATTAAGGTCGGAAATTACAGTTTTTCGAGGGGTCATCAGAGGTAAAATGCATGCAGCCAAAATATTTCAACTCCAAAAGTCCACGTGGAGTTACATTACTCAGCAAGGAAAATTGGCAAGCTGTGAGCACAAACGTCGCCTTTTGCGAGTGAAAGAAAGCAAGGGTTTTTTCGAAAGTGGCTGCAGGTGAGTTGCAACAAGTTGGTGCACGAGCCGCCCGATTTAACGCCTCCGAAATTCCTGATTCTGCAGAATCAGCGCGTGTCTGGGGGAGGTTTTCTGCACTTCCACGCCACAACCAGCTGCTTGGTATAAATTATTTAAGTGCCTCAGTGCCTGCAGGCGTTTACATTGCCTCAGACAGGCAGGTAGAAGCCAAATCACATTAAAGACAAATTACAGGTGGACTGTGGAAGATTGTGGTCAGCCCCGGCTCTATCTACAGCTGATCAAAGCATCTGATATTGGTGAAATTTACACAGCAAAATAATAATTTGGCCAAACCCACAAATTTTTGATTACAGCTTTGATCAGGCCATTGCATTCCAACATTAATGCAATTCCAGACCGAACAACTTGAGCAGAGCTGACGTATTGCATGTTTATAAACAGTGCTGGGGAAGCTACTTTGAAACTGTAGCTCGCCAAGCAAAGCTAATCATAATTTTGAATTAATTAAAAAAATAGTTTATAACAAACCACAAACAAGAAGTAGTAAAATGTAGCTACATTAAAGTTATAAGGGGTAATATGTTTTTATAAATAAACCAAATTTAACACCAAATAAAAAGATTAATTATCCAAGAATATAATTTATAATTCAATCAGAACTGTATATTTGCTGCCACAAAAAACAATAATTGGTTTAAATGAACAAACAATACAGGGACTTGAATCAGTGAATCATTTTGTGGCGAGGGGGGCGGGGGAAGGCGAAAGGCTCCAGCGGGAGAGCGAGTTTGGAGACGAGCGGTGATAAGGAGGTCAAGTGAATAATGATTAACACCTGTTTGCAATTCCAGTGATTGGCGGGGAGACGAGAGATAAGCGGCCGCCGACCTGGGAGTGGGGGAGAGACAGGAGAGTGTGCGACACCTGACTGGGAAACCCAAGAAGCGCACTCGTTGTTATATGTTGTTTGTGACGACCAATAAAAGGTCTACTCGCCACCCCTGACTTCCTCGTCCTTCTTCCCGAACTGAAAACCTTGCTACACTGGTGCCGAAACCCGGGACGAGGAAGCCGGCACGCCGCCATGCAGCCAGCGCAGCCCACACCACTTGCGGAGCTCGTGAAGTCACTCGCCGGGCTTCACCAAACCCAACACCAGGCGCTGATGGACCTCAAGCTGGAGCAGGAGGATCGGTTCCGGCTGTTGGTCCAGGCGCAGGATGAGGACCGGCGGGTCCTCCGGAGCTTGCTTGGCCGGGAGGCCGCCCCAGCAGCAGCCCCCTCCATCGCCCACGTCCCGCTGATGAAGATGGGTCCACAGGATGACCCGGAGGCTTTCGTGGACCTCTTCGAGAGGACAGCGGAGGCGTGCGGCTGGGCGCGCAGCCAATGGCCAGTGCGCCTGATCCCGCTGCTGACTGGGGAAGCGCAGGTGGCGGCCCAACAGCTGCCTGTTGTGAACCTCCTGGCCTACGATGATCTGAAGCGGGCCATCCTTCAGCGAGTCGGCCGGACCCCCGAGCAACATCGGCAACGCTTCCGATCAAGGGAGCTGGGGGACAGCGGCCGACCATTCGTGATGGCCCAACAGCTCCGGGACACGTGCCGCAAATGGCTGCTGGCAGAGGACCGCGACGTCGAGGGAGTGGTTGATCTGGTGGTGCTGGAGCAGTTCGTCGCTCGGCTACCACGGGAAACGGCCGAGTGGGTCCAGTGCCCCCGCCCGACGTCGCTGTCGCAGGCCATCCAGCTGGCT